CAATTGTCAGGTTCACTCCATGTGATTACAATAGCACTCGTAGATCTTGTTTCTTGAAACCGATCCCTGGTGTCCCACAGGGAAATGACGCTCTAAGGACCCTCTGCTAAGATTATCTACTAAACAAATAAAATCTGATGTGGCATGTTAATTAAGAAATGAGAGAAGGAAAGTAGTATGATAATCTCAGAAAGAAACGATGCTAAGCACGTGTACCTAGATGAACACACAAACATGAATCTATACCTAATTAATTGAAGGGAGCTTGGCAACCAAAACAAATGCATTGAAGATTTTAGTTGATAGGTCTTTTAATACACTCAGCACCTCATCTTTTTTTAGAAAAACTTAGCACCTCATCTAAGCACCCACACATTGAAAGAGGGCAAACCCTTTTTGCCACCGGGCGTCTGCAGCACTCCCGTGATGGGCCGGCCCATAAGTGCGTTGGGACTGATTCGAACCCACGGCCCCCACCCGTCCAAAGTTATGCTTGTGCAATCACCCCGCCACCACAGAGGGATCTGTTAAATATAAACTTTCTACTTATTTTATCTTTCTTTTCCCTTTTCCCTTTGTCTTTTTTTCTTTTTTCCTTTTTTGTTTTCCTTTTTTTCCTTTTCTATTTTTTAAATCCTGGTTCGTTGAATTTTTTGCAAATCCGATGATTTTTTTTCAAATTTGCTATCTTTTTTCCAAGTTGATGAATTTTCTTTCAAATTTGATGAACTTATTTTTAAATCGGTGAACTTTTTTCAAGTTTGATGAACTATTTTTTCCAAATCGATGAACTTTTTTCCAACCTGAATTTTTTCAATTTTGGTGAACTTTTTTTCAAAACCGATTACTTTTTCAAATTAGATGAACTATTTTTCAAAATTGATGAACTTTTTTCAAATTCGATGGACTTTTCTTCAAAATTGATGAATCCTTTTCAGTTTTCTGAACTCTTCGAATTTGGTGATATTTTATTTATTTTTGCAATTTTTCTTAAAAAAGAATTTATCAAATAGTCTACTGGCCCGGTCAACCATTGACCACAAGACAGGAAACGAACAACCGCCCTGAAGGCCCGAACGACCGATCCCACGACACGGGAAACGAAAAACTTCTTTTGAGGGAAACAAACAACTACCCCGGACAACTGCTCCGAACTAGCGTGCCTCCTTTCCCGGGCCGGCCCACGGGAGCTGGCGCATGATGCCAACTAAGAGCTCCCCTGGAAGAGGTCTAAGCGCCCTTTATAGGGTTAACGGTACAGGGCGCACACCCCCTTCGCCGTGGGCCAGCCCATTCTCAATTTTTCCTTTTGCTAAACTGCTGCACAAAACACGAGCTGAGGTGGGATTCGAACCTACGCCACGAGGGTTAAGTGTAATACGCGATACACCCAGCCACTTCACCTTCTATGATCACGTACATCTTCTTCCCTCTTTTGTTCTTTTTCTGTTTTCTTCTTTTTTTTTCAAGCTAGCTAGTTGTTCTTCAAAATCGATCAACTTTTTTTTCAAAATCGATGAACTTTTTCCTCAAAATTGATGTATTTTTTAAAAAAATGGATGAACTTTTTCAATTTTGTGAACTTTTTTCAAATCTGATGAACTTTTTTCAAATCGATGAACTTGTTTTTCAAAACCGATGAACTCTTTTCAAATTTGATGAACATTTTTCAAAATTGATGAACATTTTTCCAAATTCGTGAACTTTTTGAAGTTTGTGGACTTTCTTTCAAATTTCATGAACATTTCTAAATTCACCATTTTTTGGATTTCTTT